ATCGTAGTCAAAGGAGCTTGCAAAGAAAAGCGTCTGGACTTCTTTATGCACAGGAGAACTAAAGAAGTCCAGACGCTTTTCTTTGCAAGCTCGTTAAGTCACACATTATTTCTGTGATTTCATTTTTTAATCAAAACATATAAATCTTGCAGCTTGCTTGCGGTAAATGCTATTTTAGGAAATCTCTGCATAGGCTATATATAACTATGGATCCCAAACTTTTTATCTAACGACCATTTTTTATGATGTATTATTTATATAACAAGCTGGTGCTAGAGAAGAAAAAAAAATCCAGGATTTCACATGAGAAAAAAAAAAAAGACCAAAAACCCCCTCTTGTAATTATTTTGATACCTTGGAGAAGTCCTGACACAGCATGCAGGGAAACACCTTTCTCTGTTTTTATACATGCTCACATCCACTGAAGCACTTTTGATGTTTTCTCACTACAAGACATGCAGAACACTGTCCTTATTACTATCCCCTAGTTTTGCAATATACTTCAGAGCTGCCACAGTTCTTCAGCAAACAAGAAAAAGCAGCGGTCTCACAGACCAAATGAAAGGTTGGCTTATTGAGATCAACAGATCAGTTGATTAGTCATTAGGTGCCGCTCCATGAGCTAACATGTGCTATTTGTGGAAGTCTCTGATGTGGAGATCTCTGAATAATCATAGGATTAAGGAAAATAACCATGGAACCTTTTTTATGCAGCTTACATAAAAATACACCTTTTTGGTCTTCATAGCTGCATGCCAGTAATTTATATACTCTGAATTTTTTGACTTTTTGTCAACATTACAACAGTGATTTTCAAGGAGGCGTATTTGTACTCTGGGGGTACTTCTGCAGTTTCAAAGATCCATCCACCCATTTTCTTCTGCGTATCTGAAGTATCCTACACAGGGTATTCCAGCTACAATTTTCCATTCCTCCTGGTGGCTTCCAAGGCTTTCCCAGGTCAGACGAGGACTATAATCTGTCTGGGGTGATCGTGACTCAAGAGTTGGCAGTTCATCTTGTAATCGGAAGGTTGCTGGTCGCCCAGCTCTGACACTTCACCTGTTGCCTACTGGTGGTGGTCAGAGGGCCCGGTGGTGCCAGTGTCCAGCAGCCTCGCCTCTGTCAGTGCGCCCCAAGGCAGCTGTGGCTACAATGGAGCTTGCCATCACCAGTGTGTGAATGACTGAATGTAGTGTAAAGCGCTTTGGGGTCCTTAGGGACTAAGTAAAGTGCTATACAAATACAGGCCATTTACCATTTAGATTTCTGATTTACTTTGAAAATAAAAATGACTAAACCAAGTCACTAAAACCAGATCTCAAAAACCAAAGGAGATAATAAATAAATGGTTGAAAGAATCAGCCCAGAATAATAGCTTAAGTTAGTTAATACTTCAACGTCTAATCAGTGAGACTTTTACTTGGATAAACAAAAGGTAATAATAAGATAATTACATATACACTTCTGGATAGCTTATCAATATAGATGGCAGATTTAACTGTAATAGAAATGGAGAAGCTGACTAAATATAATAGATGCCAATATATGTGTCAGTTTCTGAGTTTCACCATCAGAGGTCGCTGTGGAATTTATAGCGATTCTGAGGAATAGCGGCGCAGAAACGTCGCACTCTCTGATTGGCCGTCGCTGGCTGGGTTCAAACGATATTACGCATGCTCAGACTCCCTTTTAC